TCTCCCCCCCCCCGGGCTCTGAGTCCCCACCCTGGTCCCACATGTCCTCACGGCCACCCCATGTCCCCGCTGAAGCTCACTGTGGCCACTGGGGTGGCCATCCCTGGTGGCCCATGGTGGACGTCCTTGGTGGCCCGCAGTGGCCATTCTCAGTGGCCATCCCCGGTGGCCCATGGTGGCTGTTCTCAGTGAGATGCAGCGGTTGTCCCCAGTGGCCCACGGTGGCAATCCTCTGCAGCCCACAGTGGCCGTCCTTGGTGGCACGCAGTGGCTATCCCTGGTGGCCAGTGGTGGCCGTCCCCAATGGCACACGGTGGCCATCCTCAGTGACCCATGGTGGACACCCCCAACGGCGCACGGTGGCTGTACTCCACTCTGGCTGTCCTTGGTGGCCCACAGTAGCCATCCTTGGTGGCCCTCATTGGCGATTCCCAATGGCCTGCGGTGGCCATCCCTGGTGGCCAGTGGTGGCCATCCCCAATGGCCTGCAGTGGCCATCCTCTGTGGCCTGAAGTGGCCATCCCTGGTGGCCCATGGTGGCAATCCTCAGTGGCCCACAGTGGCCATCCTCAGTGACCCACAGTGGCGATCCCTAATGGCCTGTGGTGGCCATCCCTGGTGGCCTGCAGTGGCCATCCCTGGTGGCCAGCGGTGGCCATCCCCAACAGCCCACGGTGGCCATCCTCAGTGGCCTGTGGTGGTTGTCCCCAGTGGCCCACAGGATCCTCCATGGCCTGTGGTGGCCATCCTCCACGGCCCATGGTGGCCATCCTTGATGGCCATCAGTGGCCATCCCCAGTGGTCCCCGGTACCCCACAGGGAGCCCAGTGAGTACATCAAGGCCATCCTGGAGCTGAGCACCTTGGTGGTGAGACGCCAGCACCGCCTGCTCCACCACCCAACGTGGCTCTACTGCCTCTCGGCCGACGGACGCCGCTTCGCCCGGGCCTGCGCCACCGTCCACAGCTTCACCGCCGCCGTGGTGCGGAGCCGGCGCCAGGCCCTTGACCGCCTGGGCCACCAGGCCTGGCTGGAAGGCCACCAGGGTCGGCCAATGGACTTTATTGACCTTCTTCTTCTCGCTAAGGTAGTGCTGGGCTGAGATGGGTAGGGTTGGCCATGGGGTGGTGGCCTGGTGGTGGCCAAGAGGATGGTGGTAGCCGTGGCAAGGGCTGGCTGTAGGGTGGTGGCCATAGGGAGATGGTGGTGACCAAGGGGCTGGTGGTGGCCATAGGGTGGTGGTCAATGGACATCACGGACCTTCTCCTGCTCGCTAAGATAGTGTTGGGCTGAGATGGGTAGGGTTGGCCATGGGGTGGTGGCCATAGTGGCCTGGTGGTGGCCAAGGGGATGGTTCTGGCCATAGGGAAGGTTGGCCATAGGGTGGCGGCCATAGTGGCCTGGTGGTGGCCAAGGGGATGGTTCTGGCCATAGGGAAGGTTGGCCATGGGGTGGTGGCCATAGTGGCCTGGTGGTGGCCAAGAGGATGGTGGTAGCCGTGGCAAGGACTGGCTGTAGGGTGGTGGCCATAGGGAGATGGTGGTGACCAAGGGGCTGGTGGTGGCCATGTGGTGGTGGCCCCAGGGGAACAATGGTGGCCCAGGGAAGAGTTGGCCAAATGGCCGGGGGGGGCCTTTGGTTGCCACACTCACCCTTGCAGGACGAGGACGGCCACACCCTATCGGATGAGGCCATCTCGGCCGAGGCTGACACCTTCATGTTCGAGGGTGAGGATGGGCCACCGAGTGTCCCCAGCGGGGTGGGGACTCCCGTGTCCCCTCGCTCACCCCTTGTCCCTGCAGGCCACGACACGACGGCCAGTGGCCTGGCGTGGCTCCTCTACAACCTGGCCCACCACCCCCAGTACCAGGAGCGGTGCCGCCAGGAGGTCCGCGAGCTCCTCAGGGGCAGGGACGTGGAGGAGATCGAATGGTGAGAGGTCCCCGGTGTCACCCACCGGCCACCCGGGCTTGGGGACACGGCTGTCACTGTCCCTCGCCCCCAGGGAGGACCTGTCCCACCTGCCCTTCACCACCATGTGCATCAAGGAGAGTCTTCGCCTTCATCCCCCCGTCACCGCCGTGTCCCGGCGTTGCACCGAGGACATCGCCCTGCGGGACGGACGCGTCATCCCCAAGGGTACGGCTCAGGGCGCAAGGTGTCCCCAGTGTCACCGTCCCTCCTTTGTCCCCTGTCCCTAAGGTGGCCGTTTCCATCCCACCAGGGATCATCTGCCTGCTGAGCATCTACGGGACCCACCACAACCCGGACATCTGGCCTGACCCCCAGGTAGAGCCACTTGGTGACGTGACTGTGGGACAGCGGGATGTCCCCGTCACCGTGGGCAGGAACAGTCACGTCCCCACGGTGTGACGGTGGCCGTGTCACTCCAGGTCTACAACCCGCTGAGGTTCAGCCCGGAGAACAGCCAGGGACGGTCCCCGTTGGACTTCATCCCCTTCTCCGCTGGTCCCAGGTAGGCCATGGTGGGGACACGAGTGTCCCCACGTGTCACCCCCGCGGCCTGGTTGGGTTCAAGGTGGGGTGTTTGTCCCCCGGCCACGTTTGGGTGTCACGGGGACAACACCGTCCCCACGTTTGGGTGAGGTTCCGCCATCCCCTGCACCGCTCAGCTGGTGGGGAGTGTCCTCCATGTGTCCCCCCACCGCGGAGGTGACAAAGAGGGGACGTGGTGGCAGGAACTGCATCGGGCAGAGCTTCGCCATGGCTGAGCTGAAGGTGGTGACGGCGCTGACGGTGACACGCTTCGTCATCCGGCCGGACACGGGGCGGCCACCGCGCCGCAAGACCGAGCTCATCCTCCGCGCCGAGGACGGGCTCTGGCTGGTGCTGGAGCCGCTGCCGGGGGGGCCTGAGGGACACGGGGACACGGGGACAGCCCGCGTGGGGGGTGTCCCACCCCCGAGGGACAGCCGTGAATAAACGGTGGCACAGAGGGGACAGTGTTGTGGTGGTGGGGACGGGGACGGGGAGGGCAGGGGGGATGTGTCCTCCGTCAGCCACAGCGTGGCATGGACAATGTCCCTCCATGCCACATGTCACCGTCCTGGCATGGATGTGTCCCCTGGGCCACATGTCACCATATATGGCCCCCCTATGTCACATGTCACCATCCATGGACATGTCCCTCCATTCCACACGTCACTGTCCTGTCCTGGACGGGTCCCCTGGGCCACTTGTGACCATATGTGGTCCCCTCCATGTCACATGTCACATGTCCCCATCCCATGCCATGTCCCCATGGCCACATGTGACCATACACAGCCCCCCCATGTCACATGTCACATGTCACATGTCCCCATCCCTGGCCATGTCCCCCCAGGCCACA